ACGTTGGATCAAAACCACTTCAGATAAATTCTACGGCTGGTTTTGTTTCTCCGGGAAGAAGAAGAAGAAGAAGCCACGGCTTGATGATGAGAAGTAATCGAGGACTCAGAACGACGTCGGCTCTAAGTGAACTGGCTGACACGGTGGCGGAGACAGGCAAATCGGAGATTACGTGGCAGATTATAGTTGGAACTATTGGTAAATAATTAGCTGATTAGTGATGTGATTAATAAATTTAAAATGTGTTTTTTCTTATAAGCTTAATTAATTAATTGGATCTTGCAGCTGGAATCATACCATTCGTTGTTGCAGGTGTTGAATTCAGCAAAAGAATAGTATGTATTGTGTGAACTAAACTATGTGTATTACACACTTCATACATATTTGGTAAAGTACATTGAAATGAGTTTTGGTTTCAGATTGCACAGAAGAGATGTGAAGAATGTGGAGGAACAGGACTTGTTTTCAGAGACAAAAAATATTTTCGTTGTCCTGAGTGTGGTAACTTCAATTTCTCTCTCTCTCTTTTTTTTACAATTCCGACAACATGCAAGAAGCTTGAGTGTTTGATTGTGTTTTGTTTGCAGGTGGGTTTCTTCCATGGCAGTCATGGAGAAGATTCTTTACAGGCTGATGTTGATGATCTCTGCAAATAAGATTTTCTTGAATACATTTAAAGATTTGTGTATTTTTTTACAAAACATTTTCGAAGTAAAAAAAACAAACAAATGTGTTGAAAGATTAAGACCAGTACTATCTATATCTATCTTAGTGTTTGTGTCATGATATACATACATACATACATATATAGATAGATCATAGAATACAGAGAACAATGTTATTCCATTCCTAACCTAATTAAGAAGAATGGAAGTAAAGAGCTAGCCTTTTTGTGTTACTGTGGTTGGCTTGTGGAGACCATCCTCCTTTAAGGACCAGATTGTATTCTCCCTATGTTGTGTGGATATGAGTAAGAGGAAGAGATGTCACCAGTTTGAACCTCGTTTGCGGTTTCTCTCGAACCGTTATATTAATGATTTACACCATAGTAGGATCCCATGGGAGGCCCATGGACAAACCTGAATCCAGCAGCTCCATTGGTTTGAGTTTGCTGTATAAATTCAGAACGAGTACTTGTCGTTGCTGATGCTCGTTTGATGTATGGTCAGGGCTGCTAGATGCGATTCCAATACCTATGTCGAGGCTGATTGTGTCGGTGGTTTCTTCTGGTCTGAATCTGGGTACTATGTCATGGTTGTTGTTAGACCTTGCGGTTGGTACATAACTAGCAGACTAAAGCATTGTAAATTTAAAATGTCTTTTACTCATTGATTACAAATCTATTAGGAATAACACAAGGAAAGCGTTGGATTCCTCCGCATTGTAATAAGAGAGTGCCAAGCAAGCTAGCAGTCTAGCACCGCCTAAGACCTTTAATAAGCCTGAAATAATTGCCTAAAGGAATGTTATCCTTGGAAGAGATGTGTAACGAAGAGAACAAGAAAACTTTGCATTTGTAGTTGCAGGCCCGGCCCGTTCATAAGGGAGCGAAGACATCTGTTTGCAACCAAATATAAAGACAAATATAAATATAGGTATTGGGATGCCGCCCTAAAAATAAGAAAATGTGTTTTTTGATATGAACAAATACGTAAGATTAATTCATACCTAAACACCAAACAAATTTGAATTTCATGCCCAAACTTTATATTTAGTGTCTAGTTTGGAGTCGTAATTAACGGGTGTTAGTCAACCGTTACGATTGTTAAGTTAAATGACACGTGTTAGATATCATGGTTTAAAACGATGCCGTTTTAAGTGTCAGAGTTAAAATTTTATAACATTTTGCAAAAAACGGGTCTCGAACCCATAATGCATGTTTCACTCATTTGCGCAGTCCATTATCATTTGATCCACGACTAGTGAAACGTCATGGGTTCGAATCCTGATTATTGCTACATTTTAGAAAACTTTAACTCCAACTTTTACAATAGCGTCGTTTTAAGCCACATCATCAAACATATGATATCTGATTCCACAGTTGAACGGTTGAGTAACATCCGTTAATTACGATTTTGAATTAAATACTAGATATAAAGTTTATGTATGAATTTTATTTTTAGATTTGGATATGAATTAACCCTAAATATTTGTTCAGGTTGAAAAACACATTTTACAGATTGTATAGATATGAAAATACCATTTTCCCAATAATTTGCTTAACACTTCCAAAAACAGTTGGTTGCTTTTAATTTTTTTTTTGTTAAATGAAAACTTTATTTTTGATACATTAATACTCCCTCCGTATTTTAATAAGTGTCGTTTTAGAATTTTTATTTTTTTTAATTGGATGTCGTTTTCAAATTTCTATACAAAATTTATTACTTTTTAATGTTTTATGATATCATAAAACATTAAAAAGTAAAAAAATTTGCATAGAAATTTGAAAACGACATCTAATTTTTAAAAAAAGAAAATCCTAAAACGACACTTATTAAAATACGGAGGGAGTAGTATTTCTTAAAATCTGATTCAAATAATCTGCAATGTTCCTGGGCGTTGTCGGAATCACCTTAATGTCACTTTTTAGTTGTCACGAATATGTAGAAAGGAAAGAGAGAAAAAAAGAAAAGAAAAGAGAAAAGTTTAAATGCAAACATCATCATTCGATTTCGTGTATTCTACTCCACTTCTCATTTAAATACAAAATAACTTATTATGCTTTATATCAAAAGATTTTAAGAAAGATGTGATCGTACTAAAACCATAAATCTACATATAAATTTTCAAGATGGTCTGAATGTTAAATATTGGAAATGATTAATTTGATTAATTGGATTATAACAAATAATTTGGGATTTGTTTAACTGGATTATATTGTATGGTTTACAATGAAGTTTTGTTTTTTAAAATATGGTGTGGTATTTAATGGTTTATTATATAAAATTTGGTTTTGAAAGTTAATATAGGATATGAACACGTGATAATTTTATCGATCTTAGATTTTGATAGGTGTAAAACAAAAATTCTATTAAAATAAATATTTTGAAAATAAGAAAATACATTAAAAAGTACTATTTGATAAGAAAAATATTACATAATTTGATATTGTTCACATTCACATGCAAACAAATAAATAATAGAGTAAGTATACATGCATCTGAAATAAATAGAAGAAAGATAACAAGTTGGCCAAAACCTTTAATATGTGAGTTAACGTGAACCGAAGAAGATAACAGTTTCACACTTCACATGCATCTTTGCTCTTTTTATAAACAAAGTCACAGAAATCACTTAGGCTTATAGCTTATAAGGAGAACCTATATGGCAGAGGCCACGTTTTTCAGGCAAAGTCATTCGAATTAAATGTACATTTTAATATAAGAATAAACAAAATTTATATACTACATTGTATAAATTTCAACAAGTACCAAATTTTGGAGAAACGAAGTACCAACTTTCAAAAAATAATCGGTCATCATTAACATAAGTTATGTATCTTCACCTTGTAACTTATGCATCTAAATATTACTATTATGTTGTAACAACAATTTTAAGAAAGAATTAATTACGGATTTTGTCCTTTTTCAGCATTTGTGGATTTTGCCATTTTTCTAGTTCCAAAAATATGATTTAACATGCGTTTCACTCGTTATGTTTGGGTTTAGTCGGTTCCATTTGTTCTTAGGGTATAAAGTACGTGATTTTACAAAAAAAAAAAATCATAAATACGTACATTTTTAAGTGTTAAAAAAGGGTAAAATCCGTAAACTATTCAAAAAATGGCATTTTCGTAAGTTTTTTTTTAAAAGTGGCATTTTAGACAATAATCTCTTTAAGAAATTGTTATAATTTTTTTTTTGTAAGAATTTACAATATAAGCAACTATAAGTGGTTAATTAGGATTTCGATTGAGTCTGATATTTTATTGTTCTAAAAGATTAGTAATTACTAACAACCTTTTAACAAGAATAAAAAATAAATAAAAGATGCTGATTAAGAAAAAAAAAGATTAGTAAATATAGTAACGAAAGTGAATGAAAAACTAACATGGATCTTTTGTCTTTGATACGATTTGATTTTCAGATATGTATCATTATAG